TTCTGCTGACATAGCATGAATGCAGTATAACAGTACTGTAAAAATAAGTAGTAGAATTTTATTTCTTAAGTGTTATTTACCCAGTTCAGATTTCCTATGAGCATATACACTTTCCCCTACTACTGCCCTGTTTCATATTTATAAAGACACATTCATACTGGGTCCGATAATTCCACAGTTTCTATTTTATTAGTAGGCAGATCCACAGGGGGCAATTAAGGGTGGTTAGGTGCCTTGCTCAAGGGCACCTTAGTGGTATTGATGAAGAGGGTTACGGTGTGGTTTATCCACTTGTACACCCACGTTTTCCCAGCAGTCTAGCAAATCAGAGCTTTCTGGTCGTACACTCACCTTTTGGCTTTCAAGCTGTCACTGCTGATTTCAGTTATTATATTATTTAAAGCCAGCATGTACCATTAGCCTAATTGTGTTTCGATTACAGTTCTGTGCAATGCAGCATAGGTCTTGGACCATTTTCCCAACTGGCTGAGTTAGGAGAAACTGAGTTAGCATTTTAGTGCTTACACTAGCCCCTCAGTCAGTGGGAAGTTTGAGGCATAGGACCAAGTTGCTGCAGGTGGCACATGGTCACATTAATGTTTTGTAAAAAAAATACAATGATAATGAACTTTCAAGCGCATATTCTGATGGTGGCGAATTATCAATGATCCAGTCAGCTCACCAACAAAAATTAAACAATCTAGTAACACCAGAGATGATTTGCACAACTCTGCAGTACTTTACAAGAATAATAGTGTTTGCAGTGATGATGAACTTGTTGGATGAATAACTTGAGTTATTCCTACATATTACCCACATATGTTGATTTTGTTAAGTGTACAATAACAACTAAATTAGAACAAACATTGTTTCATGGCAATTGCTGAATTAGCTGCTGAAATTGGTGCTATATGTAGAATTGCCTCATCAAATCTATCCAGCTAAACTATCTAATCACATTTTGGTCATTTTGTGCACCGATCAATATTTTATTTCACATTCACTGACACAGACCAGTCACCTGTTAATCAGTCACTGTAGACACAAGTAAGTTAATTCAAAAACATCCATAGCAATGGGCTCTCTCTTAACTTACGGGCTCTCTGTGTTAATTAGTAAGTAGTAATAGCAGTTAGTAGGCAACCACTGATTAATCACACATGTTTTAGTAGCTAGGCTTACTTGGGTACAGTATTTGAAGAGCTTAATTTTCCTTTATTTTTTTTATTTATTTATTTTTTTTCCTATTGAAAGAGTGGATTAGGCGGAGTCCCCAGGCAATTATGTGACATCAATCATTTGGCACAAGAGAACAGCACTGTTCCTCTCCCAACTTTCGTTAGGCTTTTGGACTAAAGAGTTGAAAAGTTTATGGATGGCCTGGAGAATTTGGCATTTCTCCGCCTAGATTACATAAAACTGGATTGCAGAATGTCAGTTACCAAGGCAACTGTATATTTGTGTCTTTGCTCTCATTCTCATCTGTCAGTTCTCTCAGTACACTTGGCAGTTTTTGTCAATTGAGGGCTCTGTGTGTTTGCAAGCTTTAGTAATGGTTGGTTAAGTGTCAAATCGAAAACGTGTTTAACAAAGGCTGTGATTGCACAGGAAGACGTGAAAAAGGTGAAATGAGTTCTCTGTATGTTGTAACATAAAAGGTGCACAAAAAGGATAGAAAGAGCAAAGGAGAAAATGTTTAATTGCCTTGCTATTTTTGACTATATACTTCTGTGTGTGGGTGGGTGTGTGTACTCACTTTATATACTGGCCCTATAGACCGTATGAGTTGTTAGAAGACTGCTGGAAAATCTCATTATCTGCGAAACAATGCTGCTTAATAACTTGTCCAACAACTGTGTCACACTCTGAATTAAGTGGGGATGTATGAAAACTGAGACTCAAAGAAAATAACCATTGTTCAGCAACTCTGTACAATGTTTACTTTGAGCACTGAAAACTGGCCAAAAGTGGTTGCTGCTACTACTGTCAGAGGCCATAAACAGCTCTTGTACACCTTAGAGATATTTCAATGATGTAATTATTATTATTTATATAATATAATACTTTTTGTGGCTCACCTTTGGTTGCATTTTACATTTAAGGCATTTAACTGACACATTTCAACACAGTATGAGTTTTACAGTGTAGATCACCAACATTATAACCAATATTAAAGGACCTGTGTGTAGGATCTGACAATAGATCCTTTTAAATGTTACACACTGGACCTTTTTAGAAATGCTCTCCTAATTAATTTTCTGTGACCATTGCATGTTTATGATGTAAGAGTGACATTGTCAGTAGTATTTATAGAGAGGAACTATGCAGAAGGAGAGGGACATTTGAGATACTAAAACATAAATATTAACATGGTTGCGTAGCGGTTTAACAGTCTGATATACAGTCACAGTTGTAGTTAATTTGCACTTTGCACTGTATATACAATATACATAAGTTACATATTCAAGTTTGAAATGCAGTGAAGTTCATTTTCTCTGTAAACCCATACATTTTCACACCGCCAAGTGTGTGGCTAGTTGCAAGCATTAAATGCAGCCTCCTAACACTTTTAGATGAAAGTAAAAACTGTGAATGGGTGGGGAATGTTTGTATCGGAGCAACCAAACCATTTTTGATTGGCTTAAGAATCAGCACAGGTGCCCTTGGTTCATTTTTTAAGGGTATTTTCCTTCACCTAGCTGCATTCTAAACAGTGAAGATGATAGAAGATGTTTCTAGATGGTGCTATAAATCTCAGACCAGTTGGCAAGGAAATATGAAAAGTTACTCTCCTGGGAAATTAGCTTCTCTCTCTCCTTATAATTGTCTGGCACAACTTAAAATGGTTCCTTTAATGTAAGCACACTGCTATCGAGTCTGAAAATGTCTTATTTCATAAATACCTCTCAGTGATTGCAGTTAAATACAAATGTTTGATGAATCTAGTGAATCTTTTTGTCTGACTAGAAAAAGTGCCAATAGGTCCCATCCCAATGCTGATGAATCATACATTTGCCACCCACTTCATTGTTGGATGACCATGTTAAGTTATTTACCGGTTAACATTTCATACTTGTTGAAGGCATTATCAGCAGTCAGTGGTTAGGATTGCTAGGGATAAAGGGACATTGGATGTATTGGATGTATGCCACCATCTCTCACATAGGTAAGGTACAGTAAAATGAGTGCAATCATTACTCTCACATTCACTGTGAGATTCTGACAGTGAATATGGAAAGTGTCATAGCCAGGAGTTGCTGGCTTTGTGAGTGGTCTGTGAGAAATCCTTGATTAAAACCTCAAAATGTTTTTTTAAATCCTGGTTCCCATACAGGCTTCGCCCTTGTCCACCGTAGTAAATACAGTAAAAGTACTGTAAATACCGTCAGTATATTCAGAATAGTCAAACCATGTTTTATAACATATAAGCCTTCTGGACCCCCTGGTATTTCAAATCTTTTCACAGATTCAGCTTTCAATATATTAAAATGCTACTAAGCCAAAACAGCAGCAATACACGATTGTGCTAGAGAGTAGAATACTTAATTTCTTGATTTTTTTTATTCAGAATAATTATATTTTTATGAAATAATTTCTTCCAGAACAACAGCTAAACAAAGTAAATGCTAACACATTTTTTAGGAAGTATTGTTGATTAGTGCCGTTACAGTATTTCTGTGAACTGCGGTCTCCAATTATCTGTTTAGTTTACTGTCTTTTCGTGCTGCATAATGTCATGTTCCAGGAGACCATCCTAAAGTCCAGCCGGTGCACTTTTCACCCCTCCCGCAGCTCATTCTGTGGCGCAGTTATAATCACCCATAGCTAATTAAGGAGCTTATGATATTTCCGTTGAGTTCCCTGCAGTGTCACTTGTGCAGCTGTATCCAGACGCTATTGATTAAGGCTGCTGGTGTTTGTATCTTATTTTTCCTGCACAATGGCCCCTCAGGCGCTGAAGGCTATGATGTGTCATAAAGATGAAGGCTAGGGTTGACATGTGGATTTGTGTGTGTGTGTGTGTGTGTGTGTGTGTGTGTGTGTGTGTGTGTGTGTGGTGCGCGTGTGTGTGTGTGTGTGTGTGTGTGTGTGTGCTTAAGCTTGAGGGTTTAATTTGTGTTCAGAATGACTCACTACCCTTTAGTCATATGTTGTTTGACTATAGATACGCATTCTTTAGGCCTATTTTCTGTTGTTACTCCTCCTGCGCTGATTCTAACATTTACAAAACTGATACAGCAAACAGTCATACTTTTTACTATATTCATACTATTTTTAAATAGTTATTTTAAAAAATCCACAATGCTGCTATAACGGGCGCTAGCATGGTGAGCAAGAAAGCAAGGAATGTGTCTTTAGTGGTTCCCATCGATTGCACTTGGATTCATTGGAAAAGGGGAGGCATCTCGGAGGAAAAAAAGATAGGGGAGGAGTTTGTGAAGGACATGAGAGAGGGAGACAGAGCTAGGTGGAACAGTGATGCTCTTCACAGCATCATGCTAATGAGGAGGATTATTATGTCCCCCCCTCAGGCAGTGGAGGCAGACCGAGTGGGTGTGGGCACAAGTGTGTTTCATTTTTGATGGTGCGATTTGTGTGTAAGGCTGTTTGTGTGAGCAAGCAGAGAAGAGAAACCTATCCTTTTGTAAGTGATTCTATTTTGTTGCCTGACATCTTTACTCTGAATCCACTTTATTAGGTACTCATCCCTATTTATGAAAATAGCTTGCTCCTCCAGCCACTGAGTCATATAAACAGAGGAGATGTATAAAGTATGCAGACTGGGTTAAGAGATTTCAGTGTGTGTTCAAAGTTCAGAGGCAAATGTGTTATAGAAACATGCACAGACACACACACAAACTCATAATCATCCGTGCTCTCTATTTTTCCTTCCTCCTTATGCACACACCCTCTCTCCCACCCCCTCTCTTCATCCTCTCCTCCGGTCCCCCTCCTCCCTCGCTCAGCAGCAGCCAGTGGTATGCTCCACTCGTCTTTGCTCCTCTCTCTCTCTCTCTCCCTCCACTGTCAGCCTCAGCAGTCTCCACACCGGAGCTATAGACACTGGTGCAGCGGCGATCCATACATGCTCACGTGTGTTTCGTTGGGTGCCAGGCTCTTTGGAAACGCTCAACATTTGAGTGTGTGTAAGTGTGTGAGTTGAATCTGCCTGAGAATGTGCGTGTGAGCGTTTTGTGGTGCATCCTTTGTATGGAGGAGCATGTGTGTAGAGTGAGAGACAGCGTGAGGATGCGTGGTGGGCAGGTGTTGTTGTGATCGGTGGAGTTTTTGGTTTACTATCGTCGTGCTGTCTAGCTCCCCCCTCCCTCCCATTTGGTTATCTTGTGAGGGCAAAAAAGCATCCTGCTGGGATGTCTACCTCGCCTGGTGCAACAGACGGGAGTCAAAGGAACTCTTGTAAGTGACTTTTTTTTTCTTGTCTTCTAATAGGGAGTGGTGATCTGTTTCAGTATGTCAGATGTCTGTGTGGCATGTTTGAAACCTTTTATCGATTCAAATGGGCTGTATTTTAAAGAGAAACAGAAGGAGAACGTGGGAATGTAACAACAAACACATTTTATTACATCAATATCGACATTACAGGTGAAATAAAGAATGCACTTGTTATTTCTAGTAGGAAAGGCTCTGTTGTGAGTAGCAGTGAGGATGCCAAGAGTTTGATTGTGTAACACTATACAGTATGTAAATGGGAAGATAATATGCACAGTAGTAAAAGTAAACAGGGATAATGCATACATATTTACATGATGGAAGGAGAGCTCGGGGAGGTGTGTAATGTGGGAGTGTGTGGGAGCATGCATGAGTGTGTTTACATATTCCCTGGAGCGCCTCCAGCTGTCAATCTATTGGAAAGGTGCTGTGCATCGACTGACAACCAAGCCAGCTGTATCTTTTCAGAAAGAAGAAGAGATCAGATGACTTGCTGTTGTCATTCACTACTGTCAAGCTGATAAGTACTCCATTTTAATCCCGGAAAGAGCCTCTGTTTGGTTTATCCATGACCAGGATGTAGTCTAATGTCTTTATTTCAATTTCTATGTTTCTGTTTAGCTCAATAAAATAAATTGAATAAGAGTGAAATACTGTACTGGCTGACTGAAGTGTATGTGTATCTACCTTAGGTAGAAACCTATGTTTGTACTGTATCTGTAGCAGTAACTTTGCAGGGATTATAGATAAAGGAATATGGCTATAACTTTGTAGTGTGAAGTGCCAGTTATTCAGTGGGTGAAAGTGTGTGGGACTTTAATGTTGGACTTCATTCTGGCCTCAAGCAACATACACACACACACTCTCTCTCTCTCTCTCTCTCCACACACACACACACACACACACACACACACACACACACACACACACACACACACACACACACACACACACACACACACACACACACACACACTCAAAACCAAAGGACTTCTGTACTGTAAGTGGGTGATTGATAAAATGATGTGACTCATTTTGACTCATCTGAAAGCTCAGTGGGCACACACACACACTCTCTCTCTTTCTCTCTCTCTCTCTCTCTCTCTCGCACACACACACACACACACTCACACATTGACTGCCTTGACTGAGGCACAGATCACATCTGGGAAATGGGTCTCCTTTTATTGCTTTCATTATTATTGCACCACCCCCCTCTTCTCGCTTTCATTCCCCTTCTCCCCTTTGTTATTTTCTGGATGTTATTTACTGCCCGTCCTTGCATATAACTAGCCTGGAAACCTTTTGTGTGTCTGGGTGATGTGTTAATGATCACACACTGACACACCCACCCACACTGACACACCTATTGTGTGTTTACGACTGTGGTTTAAAAAAAACAAAAAAAACAATAATTACATCATTGTGTGTTCAATGATTTGGCTGAGTAATATGCTTGCTTGTTGTATAACTCCCATTTCACTCTCACATGTTTAGCTCTAGTTCTTGGCTGCTTTGCTTTGTACTTGACCAGTTTGTTCCTTGTCAAGACACATCCATCACATTACCTTCTTATAGAGCAGTGCCTTCAAAAGGAAATATCAAGTGGCCGCGAGCTACGATTACTGATTTACTAACCGTTATGTTACATAACCAAATGCAGCATCTGAGGAAACAAGGCAATAGTCTTGGCTTTTAAGAAAAGAAAAATTGAGATTAGAGTAGTTGAAGACTGAACAAATGGAAAAAAGGAGTGATATAATGACAGAGAAAAAAAAATCAGATTTCCATTTTCATGAGTGAATAGTCCGTTGGTGTAAATATCAAAGGAACATGCCAGATTAGTTAGAATAATGTATGATATGAACTCATTAAAACACCAAATAAAAAGCTCAAATCAAATAGGATATTATAATTACATAATGCTAAAAGAGCAATTGATACAAAAATAGAGCATAGTTATGGACTATTTATGGACTTGTGTTTAAAGCCCTTTATTTGTTAGGCAGTATTTTTAGATAAGACAATCAGTAGTGCTTTTTTTAATCTCCTGTTCCAGCAGTCTGACTCAGTGTGGTATTATCACAGTGTAATGCTGGTGCAGAGCTCTCTCTCCCTGTTAGTTTGTGTCCTCTGTAAAGGAGCAACAGCAGGCACCTGCCACTGAGATGGATGTGCTGTGTCATCACTTCTCCTGCCAAATGATGGCTTGCCTCATCTCTCCTCTCCTCTCCTCCTCTCCTCTCTCCTTCCCTCCTCTTCTCCCTGTCCCGACCTCCCTTTCTTTTTGCGCCTGCTTGCCGTACACATCTGCTCTCTTCCCTGCCGGAGTCTCATCTGTTCCTTAATCTTCTCTCCTCCGTATCCCACAGCACTCCTCCCCGCTCTTCCTCCTCCTTCTTTCTCATCCTTCTCCTTCTTTGCTCTCCTCCTGTCTGGTTTATCTGGGTTCACATGAAACTTTAATTGCATGTAAATCAAAGCGCTGCAGATGTGATTAGTCTTTTGTGCTGCTTTAATGAGTGGGGTCTGGACTGTTGAAATATGGTACAGTAGCTGGCTCCTTCCCTGTCTCTGATGGCTAAAGCCACGGGCAAACTCAACTTTTAAATTTCTAGGGATGAAGTGGGAAACAATTATTGGTGAGAGGATTGCAGAAAATGATCTGCTTACTCTTGAAGGTTTATTGGTCTTACATTAAAGTCTGTTTAAATATTCAGCTCTATCCAGAAAACTTTATTTAATGGGTATTAAAAGTGCCCATTCGAACAATATATCAACGTACAGTATATATGTGTATGTTTGCAAGCTAATGATATGCTAAAAGAACTGTGTTGGACACTTTAGGATGGCACTTTGCATTCAGTCTACAGATTCTGATATGAAATTGGCATGTAATGGAGTAATAGAAAACGTGGCAGGAGATTCTGAGATGTGACATTTAGCAGGCGGCAGCACAGAAGCTGCTCAAGTGTTATATGTTCAACCAAATATTTGCTTGTGCTGAAAAGTTTAAACAGTTGCTGTAAGTGACACAATTGCTGCCAAGAGAAATCATTTGAATCCTGTGCTATTCAGTGTCTCCTGTGACTTAGAGACTGTGTGTGTATAGTATCGTGTATGCATGCATACATTTCTCCATGGACCTCAATCTCCAAAACCCAAAATGCATTTTGTGTATGTGTATTCAAACATTACTCGCATAGCATGTAATCACAGACGCTGTGTACACAGGCAGACATGTCATAATTTGTCTGTTCATGTTCAAGGAGGTCACGTTCCCTTTGAAGCCACAGAAGAAGGTTGAGACTGGGAATGATGGTATTAATTGTCTTTTCAAGATGGATTTTTTTCAAGAGATGAAAGAATCTCCACTGTCAAAGGATAAAGTAAAGGGCAGAGCACATAGCTTCATTTTCATAATAGTCACATTTTAACCTTGACTGACTCCGCTTTTGTTTCTTTTTGTTGCGAGTGACATGGAATAGTAATTGTGGCATAACAGATTTACGGTTGCATAAATGTGGAGTCATGCACATGGCCATAAATACACAGTTGCACACACATACATAAGCCTTAAGTACAATGTTTCTCCGTGTAGATTGTAATGATATAGTCCATCTATCCTTCCATTCATTGTGGGGTGTCTGCATTACCCACTTATCCTTCAGGATGGCTGACATGCAATCAGCCATGCATCAAGAATTCAGTCTTTTGGAATGGATGACACATTATCTCTCACTTTAACTCTCCTACCATGCTTATTGTCCTCTACTCCCACCTCCCTCTCTAGCTTGCTCCCGCCTCTTTTATTTCCACTCTGTGTTGCCAGCAGTGTCCACCTGGCTTAACAGGTGTTGTTGGCAAACGTTGAGCATGTTGTCTCCTCTCTCAGCACTCATATTGTTTACTCAACTGTACTACTGCCTGCGTTCCCCAGCAATCTTTATGCTAAGATCGTCCTTGTTCAAACAGATTAGGAGGAACAGTCTTGCAGCGAAGATGCTTTTGGGATTCAGCATGTTACAAAGCATGCCACAGAAGGAGATAGAAAGAGAGGTGACAGAGAGGAAGAGGATCGACAAATGACTAGAGGGGGAGAGACAGGGGAGACGGGAGGGAGAGATGATGGAAAGAAGAAAGGAGAGAGAAGTAAAAGAGGGCACAAAAATGAGGAGATGAGATGAACAATGAACCGGGAAAGAGGATGACAGAGCAAAGAAAAGACAGTAGAGAAAGAAGAGAGCCGTGCAGCAGGGTAGGGGTAAAATAGAGAAGATAACAGGTGAAGGATGAAGAAGAGTGGGTGAAGAGACAGAGGAAGAGAGTGACTCGAGAATAATACAAAGAGAATATTGGTAAAGAGAAGGAATTAAGACTGTGCCAAACCAAAAAGCACATTACAGATAATGAAAACGAATAATAAAAAGACGTAGGAGAGTAAGACAGGCCTCCACACTATCAGTGTGTCTGGTAATTGGTGGTGGTGGTGGTGGCACGATGGCTGCACAGATCACAGACTGCAGCAGTGGTGAATCTCTAGCCTCTACTATATGGAGGACAGGGCGTTTGATTCTTTCTGAAAAATTAATGACAGTGGAAGCTGAAAAAAATAGGACCTTGTCACATACAATAAGTGCTATTATTATTTCAGCTTTAACATATTGGTTGAGGTTTTGGCTCCATGCACTCAGCTGGGTTTAAGTGCAGATTAACACATTTAATATTGTAGGATTTTAATATTGTAGGATTTTCTGTACCAGTGTTTCACACAAACATTGATGTTGGCAAGTTGAATACGTAATAGCACTTACTTTTTTTATTTACTTGTTTTAATAGTATTGGCATCATATTTTGAAGTATCATCTACTGTACCAAACATGTAGCAGAAAGGAAGTTGCATACAATCTGAAGACCGATAGATAAGGCTCTATCTATCTGTACACAACATATTTATAAATTGGTCT